TACAGCACTGCGAGATGATGCCCTCTTTGTTGCTTTCTGGCCAGGTTTGTTCATGACATGTCTGAGAAACTCTGGTGGATTTGTCCAGCTACTCGATGGAAGCAAACTTTGTCGAATAGTTTGAGTGGAGATCCTAGAGTGGAGTACATCATGTCACTATCAAAAAGGTTTTAACTGTGGATCGAGGCATGTCTTTGGTTTGGGAAAAGGACTCATGTTTTCCAACCCTTTTCACATTCCCCAGCTATCCGTGGAGTGGTGGGATACCCTGCCCCTCTTCGTCCGGATGTCTTGTCTTGAGCTTGAACAGCCGTCCCAGGCCCACAAGGATCTGTAGGCCATGGACCGCCCAAGAAAAAACTCCTAGTAGTTTCTTTGCTCCTAGTAGTACGGCCAGGAGCCCCTAGTAGGGTCCTTGCTCCTAGTAGCGATGCCAAGAGCCCCTAGTAGCTTCCTGTCCCTACTTGGATCTCCCCCGCCCGCCTGTTGGATTAGCCGCTTCATCTCATCGTCCCTGCAGGGAGGATGAGCCCAAAGATTGTAGGTGTAAAGGCGTCGAAGTGGCCAACTCCTAGATCAACCAAAAGGAAACTATAGCATGCGGGATTTTCGGGGGTGGTTGCAGGTGGGATGTATTATGTCACCAATTTGATAAATAGAACAACGAACAAGAGTATCATCGACAAAAAGGATATTGATATATATATATATAACATGTATATAACATGTAAGTTTTTTGGAACCACTATAATCACTATACACTGGACGGTCTTTCTCGTTTTTCGGCCGCCCAAGCAGCTGCCTGAGCTTCCGTTCTGGCGCAGGCGGCCCGTCGAGGCGTGTCAGGGGCTTGTGCTTTCGCGGCTGCCCTGGGCCGTGTCGCCGTCGGACCAGTCACGCCGAAGTCGTGATCTGTCCGAAGTGTTGACCGAGCGTGTTCTCGACGAACTCGCCGTGGGTTTGTCCTCTAATAGCTCCACCTAGTAGCGATGGCCTCCACCCTCGTAGCGATGGCCTCCAACATACTAACGATGGCCTCCAACCTAGTAGTAGCAATGGCCTCTGGAACCTAATTCCAACCTAGTAGCGAACCTAATTCCAACCTAGTAGCGATGGCCTCCAACCTAGTAGCAATGGCCTCCAACCTACTAGCGATGGCCTCCAACCTAGTAGCGATGGCCTCCAACCTAAAAGCGATCCTACTAGCGATGGCCTCCAACCTAGTATATAGCGGTGGCCTCTAACCCACTAGCGATGGCTTCCAACCTAAAAGCGATGGTCTCCGACCTAAGAGCGATGGCCTCCAACCTGAGAGCGATGACCTCCAACGAAAGAGCGATGGCTTCCAAACTAAGAGCGATGGCCTCCAACCTAAAAGCGATGGCCTCCAACCTAGTATAGCGATGGCCTCTAACCTACTATAGCGATGGCCTCCAACCTAGTATAGCGATGGCCTCCAACCTTGTATAGCGATGGCATCTAACCTACTAGCGATGGCCTCCAACCAAAAAGCGATGGACTCTAACCTATAGCATAGCGATGGCCTCTAACCTACAAGCGATGGCCTCTAACCTACAAGCGATGGCCTCCAACCTAGTATAGCCATGGCCTCTAACCTACCAGCGATGGCCTCCAAGCCAGTATAGCGATGGCCTCCAACCTAGTATAGCAATGGCCTCCAACCTAGTATAGCGATGGCCTCTAACCTACTAGCGATG